TCTGGGCTGATCTAAGTCAGGGCATGGCTTACTCACTGATTGAACCCTCAAACAATCTCTGGGCTGATCTACATCAGGGTACAGCTAACTCACAGATCAAACCTGAAACAACTTTTTGGCTGGTAGATTTAAGTAAGGGCATGGCTAATGATAAAACCCTGGAAGAACCTCTGGGCTGATCTAAGACTTAAGTTCCCAGCACTTTTTCTTATCATGTTTATCTGTCTGTTGGTGACCAATTTTATTATCTACAGTTAGTAAAAATACCAGCTGACTATTTGTTGAACATTTTTATTCAGGGCCCTATTTAAGATGTGAAAATACAATATGAAAGCCAATTACGAAGAGTTAGGAAAATATTAATTCACATAAGAATTTACGTAAGAGTTCTTGCTGTAAAGTCCTTGTTTGATGAAATATATGCTCAGCATTAGTAAGGCTAGGAGTAAAGGAGAAGATTCCAAAGGTGTGATTAATTCCTGTGGCTCCATTAATGTAATTGATTTTCCCATAACAGTACAATAATAACAGTACAATCTTCCCATTTACCTATTGTTTCAATACTCAGCAGTATTCCCAGCATGATAATAATTATTATTATCATGCTGGGAATACTGCTGAGTACTGAAACAATAGGTTAATGGGAAGATAGAAAAGCTATAGCAAAACACAATTAAACTTCAAGGGAGGTTATTACCAAAGTAATGCCCATGCCTCTGCATAAATTCTATAATTTAATGTGTGAATTCCTCTAACCCTAGCTAGTCACTTGAATCWTTTAAACCAATCAGATATTAAAAATATAATTCTACCTTCTTTTCCCTAATTTTTGAGATTATTCTGAATATATATACGAATGGCAAAAACAATGCAATTTTGAAGTAGAGTAGAGTATTTTATCATAATTATTTTGAGTAGGGTTAGGGTATCGAGTAATCCAGTACCACTCGAAAGCTAGATTTTCATTGCTCCCTAAGTACAGTACCGCTTTTGTAAGGTTAGGTTTAGTACTATTGTTTGGATGACCAATCTATTGTTTTTTAATGCAATCATGTAACTCGTTCTGAGCAGTTACAGGCTGGCTCAGGGTATTTGCTAAGTAAATTGACTGCCAAGACAGTGATTCTGTTTATGGACACAATGTAAAAAATCGTTCTGTTTGTTTTGAACAAAAAAAGTTTTTCCATTGTCTACGATAGTTTATTAAAACGACTTTTATCAGTATTTTATAAATATAGTGCAAGTTACGTGTTCGAAGAAAATTACTCATGTTTCTTCATTAGTTTCAGTTTTATGATTGTTTTGCACAGAGCTYGATTTTCGCTATTTTTCTTCAAAAATTGACAAACGTATGTCATTCAGGAGTGATTATCTCAAGAACAAGCTAGGGACACCCCATTTTTCTTTGCATTTTTGAAATCAGCATTAAATTTCATTTTAAAAAAGTTTCAATTTTCAATTTTCTGTTTTGTTATTTACCAAAGTAGTCAGCCACCTTAAGCAATTCAATGTAAAAAGAATATTCAATTAACATCTTACCAATGAGAATTATAGAGAAATATCCAGCTACTTATAATATGATATTAATATTGACATTTTGTCAGTGGTAAAATATAGTTATTTTATACTGAATAAATTTAGAAGTTTTATTGCATATTATTTAGACAAGTCATTGGAAAGAGATAGAACATTATAGTGATAAAGCTATAACCTAGAGCAAATTACAGGTCTTCTAGATAATTCTTGGTTCTTCTGTCCTAATTATTAAAACTCCCCCATAGTGTTATCTATGTCAAACGGCAGTGTTTATCGACGACATATTATATTAGTATTCACTCATGCATAGATTCACGTAGACCTAATGCTCATTTCCAGCTGTCTCATCAAAATAATATTCATTCATAAACATCAAGAATTCTATATWTACATAGACAGTTATTTCAAATCAGATGGGAGGTACTTTTCAAGTGTAGCGTCGTATATTATTAAGTATAAAAAGTTAATGATAACATTTCCCAAGCCCTAATTAATCACGTTTTTCAAGTCAGAAATCAAGTCCAGTTGATATTGATGGGTCTTTTCAAAGAAATATTTTAGGGATAAATCATCGAGGGGCTAGAATTTAGAGAGGCATGACTGCTCACTTACGTAAATATAGCTAGAATGGTCATGCAACATTAAGAATATAAGGGTTCTCATGCTCTTGAAAAAAATATTTCTGCGGTACTTTATCCAATTTGACACTTGACAGTCTTTATTTCTTCAAGTATCAGTGGTCAACAAGAATTCAAAATGTGGAGGAACTAGTACTGGAAGAAGTAGTTAAAAAAAAAAAAAGAAAAAATAGCTAGACCTTGGCCAAATATTATGTCAAAATAACAATAGAAATATTTTAAAAACATTCATACAGGAAATAGTGCACTCAAACATCAAATAATATCGAATCCAAGGAATTCGATACCTTCAAAACTTCAAAACGTTTAATGTTGAGTTCAAATAATTTTTATCGAAACATAAAATAAATAAATAGAATAATGAATGCACATAAAATGAGCAACGGCAGTTGAAAAGAAAAGTATTCTTTTTAGGAGATGTCTGAAGATTAGCAAACATAACATAAGTTTCGTGCAAGGTAGAATTTTATACTTTTTATAACAATGACTGGTGTCTTTGAGCAATACGAACAAGGATTTGCAGGAGGTAGATTGTGGTAGGATTATCCTTCACAATGCACAACTAAAAACAGCTTACATTGTATCTGTGGGTGAAAGTGTTTTTAAGACATACAATCACGATCCACTTTCAACCTATTTCTCTGTAATATTTAAAGGAAATGACTGGCTCTARAAACAGACTTCTGTACTAATGACACTATATTTAGTAAATAGTATATTATATTTATTGTGAAATATCTAATGTCAACATACAGTATCAAGTAACATGCTGCAACTTGTATTAGGCGAACTATTAAACAAAAATTTATCCAAAGGATATAAAATATGCGAAAATGGTCAATTTTGTTTACATAGGTGACCATCATTGTTTCTAAGTTGGATTCTACGCCAAGGATTCGAATTATGGTTCGAAAGTGTTAACGTAAGACCTATTTTAGGAAATTTTAATGTGGTTAGATCCAAATTCCTTCTAAAATAAAAAAAATTAAAAATACTAGTAAAGATGTCGAAAACATCCTTTTCCCTGAATTCCTTTTATATAACGCCGGGCAAATGCCTAATTTTTATTTTCCGGTTTTATRTGGATCAATAAAGTAGTTTGAATTAGATAAAAATATATTCGACGGGGATAGAGGAAGAAGGGCACACGTACCTCAAAACAACTATCTTCCAACTGGTCTGAATCTTGTGAACCTCTTTTTTCTCCTTCGTTAAAAGTCAAATGCTCACCATCGGCACCTACAATTAGTGATATAAATATACRAATGAGTTTTTATAACAAACAGAAAGAGAAAAACCTTTTGAAAAGTAAAGCGCATGCATTAGATATCCTACTCCAGTCAAGATTTTACTTTGGTATGGGGCTTGTATTTCTGATCAGATTAACTACTAGTAAATACCTAAAGAATCGTGAAATCTGCGGCAGAAATCTTGGAATGTTATCTTCCCTACTCCATCGGGATCTAACTTGTGAAGTAATGTCTTGATTTCCTGTAATAATGACAACAAAGTTGTTCAAAGTTCAAGCAAGAACATCGAAGTTAGAGGTGTTAAAGGGACACTTGGTCGATAAATGTAGTCGAGTTATAAAAGGGGCTGTTATGAGTTAGAAATTCGCTCTTTAGCGACGAGGTTTTTATACAAAATGTCTCAAAAGCTTAGTACAACTAAGGTGACCGTAAGTTAGATGCTTCGTGTTAAGGCCTATACTACAATGGAGTGATGTAAGCTATAAYTATAACGACTCTTCCTCAACGTAGAAGAGTGTCCAACATATATATTTGTTTGCAGCGTTTGTTAAAACAATATATCTACGGTAACCCCTAGAGATACGAGTGCAGTTGTTAAGACGATTCATAAAGATTCAAGATACCGGATTCTTTACCTCATTAGATTGCTGACTACCCAGGCCAGAGAGCTTGATCAAATCCCGTGTCTTGACAAAACCATCGCCATTTTCATCGCATGCGTCGAAGATTGGCTTCAATTTAGACGCAATAGCCTCCATTCTTTCTAAGACATTTAGAAACCCTTCCTTCCCCAGACCACAAATTTCAAGTATCGTTGTCGAACGAGTGATTATTTGGYTGTTAAAGGCCTCATTTTAAGAAATACAGGGGTCTTGAATTGTTCAGTTAACCGCAAAGTTACTCTCTCCTCTTCGCTTACTCACTTGAAGGACCTAAACATTACGGGCTTTGATTGATGGGTCACGTGGGATGGTCGTCAAGGACAAGTTTCCTGTTTCCAACAAGACTGTACACAGGAACCCCAGTATCCAAAACAAAAATTTATGAATTCAAATAAAAATATTCAAAGGATATTTGAAATCCATTCACTCAGATAAAATATTTAAGTGTAAGTGCCTCGTGGTTCTACAAAGGAACCCCTTAAACACATCATGTYGTTGTAAATCTAAATATAAATAAGGAAAAGTATTTTATTGGGAGGGGGGAGAGAGGTTGAGGACTGGGATATAATGCAATGTAGACTCACGTACCCATAGGGTACCTATTTTTAACTTTTGTGAAGGGTTCAACCCTTTTGATTTTGTCGAAAGCTGTTTCGTCATTAACTTACAGTAAGGAGACTTGAATAGTTAAGGATTCATTTTTTTTCAGGTCGTCATAAACTTTTCATGAGCCTTCTACTGTTTTGATTTCTCTAAAATAAAGCATTTACTTAAAATACTGAAGTGTTTGAATGGTTCTGATGTTTAATTTATTATATGTATACTCATAATGTTATAAGAAGTTATTTGATTTGGAGACCATATTCAAACTAAAATCTGAGCTACAAAATATGCCAAGACAGAAAGGGAAGTTAGAATTCTCATTGGCTAAGGCAGGGATTGCTTTTAATCAACATGCACGCTGAGGATTACTTTCCAAATGGATTCAATTAATTTAATGAAAAAGGGATTATTACCAATCTTCATAGACAGCACACAATCCTTGCTTGTGATGGTTTTATAAGCAAAAATATCCGAGAAACAAACTTTGCTTATTTGCAGAATACTTTTAGAAATCAAAAAGCCATCAAATTATCTGAATTTTAAAATTTCATCTACGAGAAAATATGATCCAGGATTATTCTGACAGCTTAACTTGTGTCAATATTATGATTTTTAAAAAATTAACATGGAGGTTTTTTACTGTATGTTTGGGTCCTTCTGCATACTAACACAAACCTATTGTATTCTTTGTTATCTTGGTTCTATCATATAACTTGTGTTCTTTTGTTGTTTCTATYGAATTATTTAAACTGTGTCCAATACCTGATTGAGCCATATGCTTTAATTCCAAACATCTGCATTGCTTTATTTGATCATATTTAGTAAATGGAGATAGTCCCCTCTACTAACTAGATTTGATAGTCCTGGATTCATTCTCCCTCTCGAGTAGCCTGTGTGCAGCCAAATTTTAACTCTGGCTTAGACACAGTTACATTTGGCTGCACACAGGTTACCTTTCATGCTACTTACTTAATCCTTACAGTGATATAAAAGCACCATGAATAATTTTTTTGACATTAAATTTTAAATAATTTATTGGACTTTTTTTTTTACAAATGGCTAGCTATGAGTAGATTTGACTATCAAAGGTTGTTTTTTTCGTCTTGAAATTTCTGTTACAGAATGGTTGGTTCAAGTATGATAATATTCTGACATAAAGCATCTGAAATTTTAGAAYATTAAACATTAAGTATGCTTCCAGGTATGCTCTTGGTTCCAAAGGTTATTTATTCTCTCTTCAGTCCTTGAAGCAAATAAACCAGAACCTCTGGAGCCCAGGGTAACCTCCAAGCTTTTCAGCTATACAAAGTCCAGGTAAGTAAGTTATTTAAGAAAGATGGCAGATAAAGGCTTAAAATAACATTTCATCATATTATGTCCAGTCAGAACTGAAACTTGTCCAGTCAAACCTTTGCCTTGCCAGTTATTTTGACCGGCAATGAGCCAGAAATGAGGTATGACTGAGCTAAAACTAATTTGGCCAGTGAATATGACCAGTGACTGACCAGCTGTTATTTTAAGCCCTGCAAATGAAAGGATAAAGGTGGATGGCAAAAATATTTGCAAACTGAACAAATCAAGTTACTATGAAAACTATACATTGTTCGGGCATGGACAGTTTGGTAGGGACTGATGATAATGCCGTAAAAACTTGTTCCATATCCATGTTTATTCTTGTTCACCTTTGAATAAAAATGCCTGACGCTCGTGAGTGTCACTGTTGCTATCTCTTCTTAAATCCATATTTCTTTCTTTCATAAAACAAGTCTGTTTTGGAGCTTCCTAAATTGACAATCTTTGGACAACCATCTCTCTGTTAAAGGAAAACAGTAATACATAAGGACATCTACAATCATTATTTACTATCATTCTGATGTTGGCATCCTCAAGTCTTCTCAAAACTTTAAACAACAACAACAACAACAACAACAACTTTATTCTCATTTCAATAATAAAACATGAGAACCATAAAAAATAAGTTGATGTTTTTTAAATTACCAACCAAAGATCTATTGAACAATCCAACAAACCAAAGTGAAAAATTGTTTTGTTAAAATGGTTGGCACATTAGCATCACAATGCCAATTATGTCTATAAACACTACATCCATCTATACTTTGGTACACTAGCTTTACATATAGTTGCTCAGTGGTGAACATATCGAGTTTTCTATTTTCTCAGCTGCCTTTACATTCAATAAAAATCAAACAAAAACATTAATATTTGTCTTACATCTTTTTCCTGCACTGTACATTCTTTGCAATAGTAAGCATCTGATACACCAGGTCCTCCACAAATCACACAACGTCCTTGATATGATCCATAGTTGCATTCATCACATATTCTGACCAGCGTACATGGACGCACATAGGAATCACATATCACACATTTACCATCACCTGAAAGAATTCATAAGCATATATTATTTATTTATTCATTAAAAAAACTTTATTAGCAAAGAGATGACGAAAAAATGCAAAAAGGGTGTTGACAGGGAGGAACTTAATCCCCATATGACATCAACCCCCACTAATGGGAAACCATAAGGCATGCACTTTTCATCAAGAAAAATGGCTGTTTGAGAGCCACTTGCTTCACATTCTAGTGCTATGAGAGCACAGGTAGCCCAAACTCCAGTTTAGTTGAGTATAGAGTATATAGTGGGGATTGGCAAAGCATTTGAGAAGTGTCGAAAAGCACTGCGTTGAGCTTCTCCTAACACTTCTATCTTGTTCTGCCAACCCCTGTGTGCTTTATAACTGCAAACAGCACGCACATGCATTTTCTATTTCTTCCATAATAATTGTATAATGTACCTAATTGGAAGTATGCAAAATACTTTTTTGCTGACATTTTGAATGCCAATATGTTGGTTATTTAAGCATCCATTCCACCTCTCCCTCTCATATTTCCACTTGATACCCAGCAGAAACAGWGTTTGGGCTGCCTATGACACAAAGCTTTCTTTAAAACTTTCATGGCCAGTTCAGTGCAGTGTGACTGCAACTGTTTGGAATTAGATAAAATCTGAGCCTTCACCAAAAATTAAAGTTGCATGGGTATATGCTTATGGAGACATATTAGAGTCAAAGTACTAAGTCAGCTACTACTCGTTTAAAACGTCTCGTAGACTGAAATCATTCCTATTCAGTRATGACAATTAACTKGTACACGTGCATACTAAGTRGAAKAGATTTTTCCTTTGGTACTTACATTTCTCACAYAGTCGACCGATTGCTATAAAAACAAGAAAAGAAYATTCATTAATGAATATACAATASGTTTGASAAAGRAAAGGTGGATTCTAYATTAAATAGCTCACCAACACCGGGTTGTTTTCTGCACATAATCAAATCTGGATGATGCTTCGCCATCTTGAAAAACGTGCTGACACCGTTTTCCCAAAATGCACTCGGGGCTGCCTTTTATTCCCAGTCCCCTAAGAGCAGAAAATGCAGGAAGCCCAAGCCTACGTTATCCTTGCGTGGCAACAAATTTTGTACTTGCGGTAGACATCCTTGCGGTAGCGACTCAAGGGAAATAGGCGGGGTTAGAAGACTATAACTATTAGCGCAAATTTTATCGTGATATACTCTAGTCCACGTAAATCATGCATTATAAATAAATGCGCAATACGCGCTCTGTCAGACAAATGCCCGATATATCAGATACACCAACTTGCAAGAACATTGACATACGAAAATAGAACATTAGTGATTTAGTGGGATAGGAATTATATTAAAAAACAAAAGAAGATCACTGAAGCTGAACTTTTTCTTTTGTCTTTTAATGTATTCCTTTCTCACTAAATTACTAATGTTCTATTTTCGTATGTCAACGTTCTTGCAAGTAGGTGTGTCTAATATTTTGTTTAGTTACGTTCGCGCCGTATACGTACATTCCGAGGTGAGGTAATACTACACGGATCGACAACGAAACATAGTCCAGCCTGTGTCGCATCATTTCTTTACCATAAGGAATAAGATTTTTAAAACGGTTTCCGCTTTTGAATGGGGAGGGGGGCTTGAATGGGGGGCTGTTAAAATCGTTAGTTTAGTAAATATTTCCACACTTAAGCAGGTGTCTGAATAAACGAGAATGTAGTCCACACGCTTATCCCCGCTTCCCTTTTTTGGTTTGCATATGCTTATCGCGAAAAGGAAGCCAAAAAAAAGCCAAAGGAGGCCGGGGCAGCTTCTGGACGAAGGTGGATGGCTGCCTGTTATCAGTGAGCGGAATCAGTACGTTAAGTGCAGATCGACTGTACAATTTACCTGGCAATTCAATTTTATTGAATTTATCTTACTATAGTTTTATAACTTTCCTTCACTGAAAAAAATGTTTGTACTTTCTTTGTCATTGTCATTTTTTTTTTTTTTTTGTTGTTGTTTTTTGTTTATTAAAAACAATTAGCAAGAACGGCTTTCATTGTCCACCCTGTAGCATGTCGTAAACCAGCTTCGCTGTTACGACGTCTTCGACGGCAAGTCCTGAAATCAAACAAGAAAATCATGCCTCAGCGTTACACCATCCTATTTAGGAGACGATACTGGCTTGCAATAATGGTCACTCTCAAATGACCTCCCTTTGAAAGCAGTGCGTACTAGGCTAGTTCTTGGTTAAGTCTCAGAAAATAGACCTCTTCGGCTTAGGATAATGTTKTCYCATTTCAGATCACGTGTCATTCCCTTGAGAATAMGATTYWTTGTTTGAGCTGTATGCGCTGTATTCATGTGTCTTATGTGCAACCGAGCGCAAACCTTAAACAAAGAAATGATACTCTAGGAAATGACATGTGGTCTGAAGAATGAAAATTGATTTTCAGCCGCACCGGAATAAAAATACTAAGGAATAAAAGGCGATTTGTAACGAGACAAAAGCATGCTTAAGCCCAAAGCTAAAGGGGTCTATGTTTTGGACATTTGAACTGGAGCACACTATTGGATAACAAACAGACGAGTAATTTTCCTTCATGCATACCCAGTGATTTAAAGATTTTCGTTTTCGTCAAGGGTACTTTTAGATGACCAGAAATAACATCACCAACTTCGCCTTCTACAGTGGCCTAAAAAAAAACATGACAAAGCATAAGTAATAAATAACGAAAGAAGGAAGCGATAACGAAGGAAGAAGCTTTAACTAACCTCCGTTTGCACGACGTCACCAGCTTCTGCCAAAGCAGCTTCTTTACTGTCAGCAACGATAAAACTAGTTCGCATAAGATCGTCGTCCAGTTCCCGCCACATTGGACGAGGTGCTCCGACGGCTGGAAAGAAACAAACATTAGTTAAAATATAATTTTAATTTACTACTACACTGATTACCTCAATAAGCCTTTTCATAGTTTAAGAATCGATTYCACTGCGCATGCGATTTTATCCCGAATTTCTCGCCTTCTTTTGTTTAATTAAGAACAAAAGAAGGTTTAGACAAAACAAGGTGAGAAATTCGGGATAAAATCGCATGCGCAGTGGAATCGATTCTTAAACCATGAAAAGGCTTATACTTGCATCATTCAGGTACAGGAGGGGCACTTGCATTTACCCTTGCCCTCGAGTGCTGAAAAAACCCATGTAAAAACTAATTCTTCCATTTCAGTTATCCATTTCTTTAAACGCCCACATTTTATCGATCTGGAAAGATTATAAAGCCCTTTCACTATCCAGTGATGACCYCTCGATCCTTTACCATTTATAACAGCTCCTTCCTTGACCCACTTTCCTTTCAGAATAGGTTCAGTAGCAAAGGTAGCTGTTACTATCACATCTGCTTCAGACACAGCTTCCTCAACCGAACCGCAGCACTTTGCCTGGATGTCTTCTGCAAACTTCTGAGCATTAGCAGCTGTGCGGCTCCACACTTTCACCTGTGGTASGAAAATATCATGAAAGTCAATAAATGAACGTGGAAAAAGCTTTTTTTAAATAAAAGGAACAGGTCATTTATTACACATCAAGACATTTCAATGCTTGCTATAGATTTTAACTGCATATTAAACGACTTATGTAGCTTAGTACGCGCGATTTGATTGGTCAATAACTGTATAAGATGTTTCCGTATAAAGAAGGCGCGGGCAACAAAATCCAGCAACTTTTCGCAAAAAATTGTTGCTTCGCAAGTGCCMGAGCAAGTGTTGCTCGTATCACTACGCCGCACGCAACAATTTTTTGCCATTACAAAGTGAAGGGAGTGGTAATACACACGGAGTGGTAATACGAGCAAAATCTGATCTGCAATTTGCAATGCAACAATGTTGCGCGTCAGATAAGTTGCGCGATTTTGTCAGCTCGCACCGTACCTTCTTGAATCTAGAGTTTTTTTTCTTTGCRCAATAATGATTTTTTTGCGCGCGAAGTGGTAATACGAGTAACATTTGCTCGGCAAATTGCAACGCAACCGTGTTTCGCGACAGGTTGCTCAATTTTGTTGCTCGTTTTATTGTTTTTCGATAATAAAGATAATGATGACTTCACTTTTGATTGTAAATAATAAAGATGGTGATGATAAAAAAAATTTAAGAGGATGTTTCCGGAGTGTCTCACCTCTGTGAATGATTTCACATGTCTCATCGCTTCGGCATGACTTCTTGCCTGAGTTCCTGAACCAAGGATTGCTAGCACTTTGGCATCTTTATTAGCAAGATACTATAGATTGGATAGGATATCATTATTAACTACGCATAAAATTCTATTTATAGCAGTACTGAAACATCAGGGCCAGATCCAGGAATTTTAGAAGAGGGGTGACTATCTATTACAAAGGTTTTACCAGGAATTTGAGGAAAAGGGGGTGACTGTTACTAACGATATACTGACAAATTTGAGCAAAAGGGGGGTGGCTAGTCAACTATTTTACTACCTTGAATCCGCCCCTGAACATTTGTTAATATGTGTGAAGTGGGACTACGATTATGATAGCCTGGCCTATTACAGTTTCATGATATGAAACTGAAAATGAGAGAGGAMGCTGATTTTTGAGCCTTGATAGGTTTATTTATCTATTGGCAGCCACAGTCTTCTGCTCTAATAAAAAGTAAAAGTGATCATCTAATCACAGTTGCTTTTGAAGTAATTCCATTTGCAATAGGGGTGGGAATAGAATATTAGAATAAAATTCAATATTGGCCATATGGTAATAATAATAATAATAATAATAATAATAATAATAATAATAATAATAATAAACTTTATTTAACACAGAATCCATAAAGTTAAATCTTATTTACAATGGAGCTGTGTAAARTACACACACACACACACACACACAAAATGTACCTTTGTAGCTACTGCTGAAGCTGCTGCTGTTCTCATTTCTGTGATGACTTCTCCATCCATCAGCTAAGAGAGTTTATACCAAATCTTACACAAATTATGAATGCATACTGGAGCATTCTTTATACACCTAGCTTTATAAARGTTGTTGTAGCCATAGAAGATAGGCAATAATCAATAGGTCACTCCAAGACCAAAAGAAATTATGGCTTTGTATGCATTCACTTGTGATTGATYGATTGTGGCAGTTAGGTGGACCGTGATGCTTTGACTGCTACTGCTAGTCTTCATCAGGTGATGGTGTAGACTGGAAGGTGGTCTTCTAAAATACCATCAGTCTGGCTCCCTTGAGGATCAGGCAAGAGGGAGCCAGACTGACCGTTTATAAGAAGTCCACCTTCCAGTCTACACCATCGCCAGATGAAGACTAGCAGTAGCAGTCAAAACATCATGGTCCACCTAACTAACACAATTGGGAAAAAACTTAATATAGATGTTCTTTGATTTATATATCTAAAATGGATAATCCTTTTCATTTTAATTTTAGAATTGAATCAAATAAATTATTTTACTTTTTTTAGGAGTTTGTCTTGAATTTTCCCCCTCACTTACAGCTTGTAGTGATCCATTTTCTGGATTAAACAAAAGTACTATTGCTTGATGAGAGGGTAAGCCCTTCTTGTCATTCTCTGGATAGACAGATACCAGCTTTGTACCAAGTGCACTTGCTTTTCCAGAAAATCCTGGCATGGCCAAAAACAATCTAAAGACAAAATACATAAGAAGCCCCTTTCAAAAGTCTTTCCTTGAGAGTGAATTATTGTGAAGTACTTCAATTAAAGTGAGGTACTGCACAATCGTACTGTACACTGATCCAGCCTCAATAATATAAGGGGAAAGTTCATTTGATATGCCGAGGGGGTGGGTTGGGGGGGGGGGGKGTGAAGATTTCTCCTCAAAAACCCCCCCTTTCATGTCCCAAAACATTTTGGTCCCCCCCTCCCCCCACACACATGCATATCTTCATGCATCCCCCCTCCCCCATCAGTATGTAAATGAACTTTCCCTTAAGRCTCCTACATTTAGTTCTCTGCTCACCATTCTTTGTATACTCAGACATGACATTCATTCAGTTMATAATCTTGCAGTCCAGACGATTAGCTATAATTAAAGGCTTCTGGTTATATTAGGAGCAGATAAGTTTTTCATTAAAAACTACTTTATATATTCCATTATCTCAAGGTTTTTAGTCTAATGAATTATTTAACTCACAGAGGCATCACCTTATTACGAATAAACTTTCCTAAAGTAAAGCTTCCACATACGAAAAAACGTACCCTTTGTGTTGCTCAACCGGTATCCTACTTCGCAAAGGTTGCACAACTTGGCCCTGATCTTTGTCCGAGAAGTCTCTCAAAGCATTTTCTACTGCAGTTATCAACTCAGGATACTTCAATAGACCTTTGATCTGGGCTCCATCGATATAACTTACACCTGCCATCTTTTGAAATCCTCGATTCCCAAGAGCCGACCTACCTATGGTCGACCTAATTATGAACTGCATTTGATTATATTATATGAACCATTCAAAAGCCTACGTTCCTCTTGGTCAGTTCCGGTACTGACCAAGAGGAATGTGGGCTTTGGGTCGATTCTTATTGGTCAATATTTTATCCAATAGTCAACCAGTTTATATCAGTGGGTGGGTGGGAGCGGAAATATATTAGATCACTTTTCCAAGCCGCCATCTTGTCGTGTTGACTGTCCAGAGTCCACGGCAATAAAACGTATAATTTCACCTCCAAAAAACCCCTAGAAAAGCTTTCTTGGTGTCATAATGTCAGGGAAAGAAGTACACGAGCTTACTATCACCCCAATTACTTGTTTCGCCTTTAACAAGGCTCGCAATCGTAAGTGTTGTAATTTCACTGCTTGGTTTCCGGGTGGAAAGATGTGACTCTGGATGTGACTGAAGACTGAGCGTGTTGTTTAAAATTTGTTCTTTTAGAGCTGGCGATCTGTCCTAATGACAACACTGTTCACATCTATAAGAAATCGGGGAACAAGTGGACAGCAGACGTAGTTTTAAATGAGGTAAATGACTAGTTTCTATGCTTATAACCCGGAGCAGTCAATCGATAAAAATCGATATCGATTTTGCCGATCGATAAATCGATAACAATCGATAAATCGATAACAATCGATAAATCGATAACAATCGATAACGCTGATTTGATAGACTCTTCCACAGTCTCTCGCTCGTCCGTTCCGTCTCCACGCTTAGAGACTGTAACGGTACAATGACYGAAAGGAAAACTTGGACCCAGCGTGCTTTGGGAACCAAAATACTTGTCCACAGTCTCTCTCGTTTCAATATTTTCAAGATGGCGGCAAAAACGAGAGAGACTGTGGACGAGTATTTTGGTTCCCAAAGCACGCTGGGTCCAAGTTTTCAGGACCCATAACTGCTTTCGGTCATTGTACCRTTACAGTCTCTAAGCGTGGAGACGGAACGGATGAGCGAGAGACTGTGGAAGAGTCTACTGATTTGATTGATATCGATTGTATCTATCAATCGTTAAAAATCGAACTCACACTAAATTTTYTTATCGATTTTTATCGATTGATTGATTATATACATATCGATTTTTTTCGATTTATGTTCTTGAACAATTTCTATCRATGATCGTACGAGGGTCGTGTGGCTACRGATTTACACCACCGGCAAYTACTCTTTCGTAACCATAGCTTGACACAAACTAGGAGTTTGTTATAGTGATCAGTGAACAGACAGCAAAAGTACTTGGATAATTAGCTGCCTGATCTACATATAAGTACTTGTGAATTAATAGTTATAAAATCTATTGCACTATCATCGATATTTTCGAATACTTTCCGTGATATAAAGCTGATTATATGATTGTACTCATTATTGGATCGAATTAAAGCTGTCAAATCTTGATCGATAAAAATCGATTAAATCGATAAAAATCGATTAAATTGATAAAAATCGAACTCACACCAATTTTTTTTATCGATTTTAAACGATTTCCCATAAAGATCGATACAAATCAGCTGATTTCTATCGATTTTTATTGATTGACTACTCCRGGTTATAAGCGTTAATCAGTTCAAATCTGATAGACAATGTTATATGTTCTTTGTGTGTTATAGCATGGCCAGCGTGTTACTGATATGGATTGGGGACAGGAGAGTAATCGTCTGGTCACTTGTGGTGCTGTAAGTACAATCATATGTGTTAGGAATGCATTCATTCGCCTAGCACCCATCCGTCCTTCTTGTTGAAGGTTGCAATGTCTGTTAAAGGGTGAGGCCCTATTAAGGGGGGGGGGGAGGGGGTGTCCTCCGTCTGAATTTTACAAATACTTATGTCAAAATTCTGAAACATTCTCATGTCCCTTGTCAGAAATTACCCCTCCTAACAAGGCATTGCTGTCTGTAATTCATTACAGCAGCTTGTTGTTTGGTACTAGTTTGCAGCGCTAATGTCGCAGTTTCAAGGACATGATGCTTGTCAGAATTTACTTCTAACAGGGCCTCAAGGGTGGATCTAGGGGTGATGATATATACACCTAAAATTATACAGTCACTAGCAAAAGAAACAAAGTTTTATATAAAAATCAGCCCCTAGCTAGTTTTCATTTAGTTACTGATGCCTCCTTAATCTGTATATAAAAGAGAAAAATCAGCTAAATGAGCTAAGACACTAATTTAAGAAAAAGACAGCAAAGTCATGTCCCACAACTGCTCACCTTTTTATTGTACAAAACAGGACAGGAATGCTTATGTATGGACCTTGAATGATGGGCAGTGGAAACCTATGCTTGTGATTCTGCGTATTAACCGTGCAGCCACCTGTGTCCGTTGGTCTCCAAAAGGTAAGAATTGAAGTTAGATTAGATATGCTGAACAAGTGAACTTGTAGTCATACTTTTTGAATAATGCTGTCATAGCAGATATACAATGTGAATGGCAAAATACTATTTTTTTGAAAGCAGAAATCTTTATTTTGGCTCTTATAAACAGGAATTGTCAATTTGTATCATAAATGTATTATATTAAAGAGTTTTAGATTGACTTTTTTTCTTTCACGTTTTCCTGTATTTTACTGTACCTTTTACAAAACTTCTTGACAAAGACCAGCATTCTTTTGTTTATCTACTACTTGGAGATTTTTGCTATTCTTTTTCACTAATTTTAAAGAATGTCTAAATGGTCAACTGACTTTTCACGTTTGCTGTGAATGTAAATCTAAAACTCTCTATTATCATAAGTTGCACTCCAACTTGCAACGATATTTGATAAGTGTTTGCAAAATAGTATCATTTTTATCTCTGCAGAGGACAAATTTGCAGTTGGCAGTGGTGCTCGATTGATCTCTGTTTGCTACTTTGAGAAGGATAATGACTGGTAAGTGAATACCATACTAATTGAATATATATCTCTCTGCTTATAATCCATTAGCATTTAATCAACTAAATGATGGGAAGCCAAAGAAGACTGAATGAAACTACTCTAGTATTTCTATGCAGTAACACTGTCATGTACAACTTGAACAAACTTCAGTATTAGGAACTCACTTAGAAATCATGATTTTTTTGTGTCACACACAGGTGGGTTAGCAAGCACATCAAGAAGCCTATTCGCTCAACCATTCTGAGCATTGATTGGCATCCAAACAATCTTCTTCTGGCCTCTGGTTCTTCTGACTTTAAAGCAAGGTATAGTAACCCTTTGTGTAAAATACAACTGCAATAGATTTTTTTGAGTTCAGTAAACTGGATGCATTGTGATCTAGCTTTAGCATTATAACAACACTATATAAGGCTTGGGAAACGAAAACAATTTTGCAACCAAGCAAGACCACAATGCATCACGTTGCTCATCTCCAAAAAGGCCTGTAAAGATGTGATGACCATACTTCTAGTATTATTAACTTACTAGTTTAGGAAACCACCTTAGGAAGAAAACAAAGCATTCATTTCCAGCAATAGGGACACCCTATCTCTGTGTGAATGGTACAGTACAGTAAGTTCCCCCACTGACGATGGATTTGTCAAGAAGTTAGGTTGATACACAAGCATATCAACGTGAAGAARTCATTCCTTGACTGCAGCAAAAGTTTAGCTATCTTCAACCATGAGTCTCTATAGTGAGACTTTCAAGCTTTTGCAAATAACATTCTCTTTGTCAATGTACATAGTGTTGGATGATTGGCAGACAATATGATATAATATGCAATAGAATTTGGGCATTGATATATCACCTTAGTAGGGTGGTGTTTGGGATGTTCACCAGATCAGTATTGGTATAGATGAATGCATATAAGATAGGATTCTTTATCTATCCATTCCAACAAATTTACAGTATACCCAAACTTTTGATTTCCTTAAAGAATTTTCTCAGCCTTCATCAAGGATGTAGATGGCAAGACCAACTGTGACACAGAGTGGGGAAAGAAGGCAGCATTTGGTAACTGTCTTGCTGAATTCTCCACTGGTAGTGGTGGCTGGGTCCATGGAGTGTCATTCTCTGCTTCTGGTCACAAGCTTGCATGGGTTGGTCATGACTCTAGCATCAGTGTGGTGAATGCTGACCATGATAACAAGGTTGTCACTGTGCACACTAATTTCCTTCCTTTGCGGCAGTGCTTGTGGATCACTGAGCACAGTATTGTAGCTGCAGGTAACTTGTATGAAGTCGTAATCAATATCTTCATCTCTCTATTCTTGTGCTATGCGGGTCAGAACCATAATAGGTTTAGAGGGAGTGAGAGAGAAAATATTCTCATTAAGAGTATTATCTTATGCCTTAGTCTTTCAACTTTTGAGGAAAAAATAATCAACCATAAACAGAACAATTTAGATTTTACATGCTGCAGATGTTGAAACAGTTTTGAATTTTCATTAGCTTAAATTAAAATTTTTTCGTTGAAAAATAATTTTGAATTTAAATTGCCTTTGTTGAAGAGTGTTTCTTCTCCCTTTCCAAAAATCAACTTAGAACTAAATTTTCATTTGATCAGGGAATGAGGGCTATAGGTTCATTAGCCACTGGGTATTAATTACCCTTAATCATCAAGGATGATGGAGAACTTTTGGGGGGGGGGGGGGGGGGGTTCCAGGGGGTAATCTCTTTTTTCCTTCATAACAGAACTCAAACTAAAATGAAATGAGAAGTCATTCTCATAAAAAGGCTTTGCCATCACTAATTATTTACAAACAATTTACATTTGTGTTTATCTTAATAGGCCATAACAACTTGCCGTATCTTTTCACTCATGATGACAATGATAAGTTGACCTTCATTGAGAAGATGGATGCACCCAAAAAGAAGGAAGACACTGGGACAATGAGTGCCATGGCTAAGTTCCGTACCTTGGACAAGAAGGGGCAAGGTGCTGATGAATCCAGCAGTTCATCGTCAAACACAACTCACCAGAATGCCATCAAGTGAGTAGAAGTCAAAACATAAAAATTGCTTTATCAGATATTCAAGTCCCAATTTCTTGAATCAAGTTAAAAAACAAATTGGTATTGATATTGGTGAGACACCCTAGATTAGCCTTCTAAAATTCAATTTTTTTCAGGAAAAAAGAGCTAAAGAGAAACTAATGATAGTGAAAAAATTAAAATTATGAAGAAGTTTGAAGTCAAAGCAGTAATATAGTCGTACAAAAAGGGCAAATTACCATTTCATGACTTTTTTACATTTTTATAGCAAACTGGAGCTCTACTCAGGAACCAAAGATGGTGCCACAAAGTTTGTCACCTCTGGCATTGATGGGCGTCTTGTGATTTGGGACATCAAGGTATGCAGTAACATTCAAACCTTTCAATGCTCCAGTTTCAATTTTTCTGTTCTACAGGGTTAGCCTCTATTTTGTATGGAATTGCTTTAAATATTCATGCATTACAGTAAACGTCCATGGAATTTCAAAGTGTTTGTATTATTGAAGTTGTGCATTCTTTACTCTACCATTGGTATTTATGAACTGACACTGAAATGAGGCTAACCCCTGTATAAATGAGCCTGCAATCAAGGAGCACAGCAGTATTTGACTAATTCGTAAACAGTCTATTTTATGCTTTCAAGTTTCTGTTTTAATGGGGGCTGGGTGGGTGGGGTTTTCTACTGTTATCTCATGTTGGCTCAAATAAACACATGTTGATGCTTGTTTGTTGCTTTCTTTCAGACATTGGTGTCTTCTATTTCTGGCTTGAAGATTGCTTGAAGCTGAAATCTGGAAAACAGAATCCACAGCTATATTCCTAATATTCATTTACTCTGCACTTACAATTTTTATGAGGATCATTTCCTGTGTCTTAATGATACAAGAAAAATCCTTCCCTTCTTTTTATTTTTATATGTTTGTTAATGGTTAACATTATTTTTCGAAAATAAAGAAACAATGACAGATGCTATAGTATTGTGTTATTAATTTGTTTTGTTTTGTGTAAGATCCTGGAGTGGGACAGAGGGTTAATATCTTGGTGTATTACTGAAAAGCCAACCATACTTCAAAACATTTGTGTATCTGTAGATTTGTAACCCACTACTTAATAAAACAGAGTTTTTACAGCTCTTTTTATGTCAACCCTAAGAAATTTAAGATTTCTTGGTTGTTAAAGTTCTGTCAATCGTCCCTGTCACAGTTCCTGGCACCATCTTGAAAGGTAGCCCTGCCTTTCACAGAAGTGAGATGAAAGGGTGAGCTTGCAATGATAGAGACCTTTTTTTAACACCTTGAACAATTATTATTATTCATTCATCTAGCTCACTTTATCATTGCAAGCTCACACCTTTCAAGATGGCAAAGGGAACTGTGAAGGGGAGCATTGACTTGGTGGAAGCCAAAATTATTATACATAACTTTACTGTGTGCCTGTAGTTGTATGGATTCCAGTGACAAGTATTGTGCCCCACTATACATTGGCTTGGATAAATTGCATCAAGGGGTGTGTGTGTGCAGTTCTTAGATACTAGATACTACACTCCTCAGATATATTACTTTATACTCTTTGTTGCTTGTGGAGCATAATGCGAGGCACAGATCTCTTGTATCAATCTGTCCCTTGTTTCTGTAGCAAATTGGTTTTTTTACAGGAATGGGTCGCAGTGGTAGCCCAATGCCCAACCCCTCCTTTCTTACCTCATTTCAACCCGGCTTGGGACTGGCTACTGTGGATTTCCTAAGGTTTAAAAACAGGCATATTCATTAGATATGTATACTTCTAAGTTAGCTTATGCTAATTGGTTATGGGCTTCCTGTGGAATACGCACCGTATCGAGGTCGTCTTCTCGCACAGCTTTCAAAATGGCGACCTAGCGACCAAAAGTTTGTTTTCAACTTTTCTACAAAATGTCTTGAAATTTAAAAAATACCGATCAAAAAGAACTCTAAAGAGCACAAATACTAAACTACCTTCATTCTGGTACTAAAAACACGACGATATCAAAATGGTAAGGTATCAAAATTCTACATATTTATTCCGTTGTCTTGACAGTATCGCGTTTGTTTTGGCTATTAATTTTGCCATATTTTTTACTCAATTTTTTCTTTTTTTAAAAAGATTCTGTCAAGGACCAAGCCAGCCATGGGCCCCGGCTCGGGAACTACAGTTTCTTCTGCAAAAGACACGAAAAAGAAGAGAAAATTGCCGAAGTTTGAGGACTTCTTGCAAATGAGAGATTTTACTGGCGCTTTGACTCTTCTAGAGGTACAGTCTTTCATGGGTTTCATCTCTATTTTCTTAAGCTCTTACACTGACGAAAAAGGATTTATCATAAAATATATTTAAGTGCTTATTCTTAAATTTTGTATAGAAAACATAAATATGATACATCTAATATTTGTACATTTTTATTTTTTTGTTCATTGAAGTCAATATTCGTCTCATTTTTCCTTTTTTTTTTGTCTTTGTTTTTGTAATGTTCTCAAGTTTAACCGTAATTCCGGGAAAGGCAATGAAGAAATGAGTCTTTGGATTGCCTACTGTGCCTTCCATCTTAGTGACTACAAGAAGGCAATGGAGGTAAGATGAGTGATTTATTGAAAAAATAGAAGAGTGAAAAAAGTGCACTGAAGGGGAAGCTTGATATGTAAGCAAGTGCTTCTCACGCTTGTCAAGTGCTTTCTATACGTATTGATGAAACTATATATCTGGAAGGGGACGTGGGGGAGGGGGACGTGGGGGAGAGGGACGTGGGGGAGGGAGAGCTAAAAACTACAAATCCACAAAAAATATCCAAAATTTAGAATCCATAAAGGGAATTAAAGAAAGATCAAAATGTTAAAAATCTACATTTCTAGATGTAATCAAAAAAGCTGTTACTCAAAAAACTGCATGTAAAATTTTCCAAATTATCAAATCCAAAACCTCTGCCTCTACCTGAAATGGTCTGTCAGACTGATAGCAAAATATGTTATTCATTGCTCTACAGGAGTATCTTGCTCTAACAAAGAGTGAAGCATGTCATCCTGACGTCTGGATGAATCTGGCAGGTTGTTATTTTTTCTTGGGCATGTACCAAGAAGCTCAGTCTGTCTCAGATAAAGGTAGACCATTTTGTACTAAATATGCCATTCTAATATATAGCCCTCCAACCCGGCCCCCATACCATACCACACCACCCTACCCACTCCCCCCAATAAATTAATTTCCCCACCAGTTTTGATTTATTTGCTTATTTTATCTTGAATATGAAATTTAGTATTATTTTAGAAGTGCACTGTTATATATTAGCCCCTTAAATCCAAAATTGGCTCCAAAATTGGCTCCATCATTGGCTCCATGGTGCCAGTGTTACTCAGTTTTAAAAACTTGGACAACTCCAGAATTCTTTGGATGGTATGGGAAGCTAAAGAAAATGCTTCTTCTTCAATCAGTACATGTAATAATTAGTCAAGCTGAACAATGCCATTTATTTTTATTTCAGCACCTAAAAGCAGACTTCAAAACAGACTTCTCTTCCACCTCTCCCACAAGGTTTGCATTCTTGTGATGTTTGTGCATCTTAAGGATTGGTTCCATCTTTATACTGTGATTAATATTCTTGTTTAATTACTATAATAGTTTAATGATGAAAAGAAGTTGATGGGTTTCCATCAGAATCTACAAGATATCATAGAAGACCAGGTAAGAGCATGAAAAATAAAACCTACTAAATGGATAGGGTATAAGCTTGGATTATCAGCGCAAATTATATAATGTTGTGGTTTATATTTCACCTGGGTTTGATATATAGACACCAGAAGCAAATATAGAGTTATAGTGCATACTGATATCATTTATTGCCAATGCTTCAAATCTTTAAGAGAAGCAAGCTTTATTAAGTATATAAATCTGATCATTATTGATAATTTATGAGTATAAGACCCCTTGTCTTTCAATTCATCTAACAGCTAAGTCTTGCATCCATTCATTACCTGCGAAGTCATTATCAAGAGGCCATTGATATTTACAAGAGAATCTTGTTGGATAACAGGTATGATATACGCAGTCGGTATTAGCATAAGACAGTTTATAACCCTTGACATATCCAGTGTTGCTCGGCGGTCTGCAGTGTCAAGACTAATAATAACAATAATTAAGTGGAGGGGAATTAAACAGTAGCAAGATTTTGTGATTATAGTTTTGAAAAAAAATTTTGGAATAGGACTCTTAGTTCCTTTCAATATAATTGCTATGCCTCAAAGTTGTTGTTAAAGTTGATATTTAGCATGATATTTGATTTTGCAGAGATTATTTGGCACTCAATGTCTATGTAGCATTATGCTACTACAAGCTGGACTATTATGATGTCTCACAAGAAGTGTTAGCTGTCTATCTACAGCATTATCCTGACAGGTACATCTAATGAAATAATAGCATGAATATGGGAAGGACTATAGAACATTTTTCATGAGTAAGTCGTACTGTACCCATATGTATTGTGAATCAGTGAATTACCAAAATACAATGGGAAGCCATTTCCATGTTATGACATGTCATATGGTTTATATTTGTAACAGTTTTAATTGCATAGTAATACATATGTTTGAAGCTCATATAAAAATGAAGGACTCTATGGCAGGCAGATAGAGTAAGAAGTATGGAAAATAGAGCACTATAAACAAATCATAAATCATACTTGTACAAAAACATTAAAATAATGTAAAATCATTAGAGAATTGCTGAGGTATTACAAAATATATATGAGCTCAAAAGGAGGGGGAAAGATTGCAAAGTTTTGGAGAATTACCATTAAAAAATTATTTATAAACAAAGTGATTGGTTTATTGAATGTACTAATAGTCATTCCTTATGTTTCCAGTGCAACAGCAGTAAATCTGAAGGCATGCAACCATTTCCGATTATACAACGGCAAAGCTGCAGAAGCAGAATTGAAGTCACTTCAAGAAAATGCAAGCCCTTCTTTCAGCTTTGCTGCTGATCTTATAAAACATAACTTGGTAGGTTTATGTAGGTCTCATCCTATAATGTCTAAATTTGAGAATTTAAGATGGCTGCCCTAGGGGTAATAAAAAAAAGTCTACTGACATGTAGTTCCTTTGAGCCCTTTTCTTACCAAATCTCAGATTGATCATTTATCACTTCTATGATAAATAGATCTGTGTAAGAATTTCATAATTAGTAACGACTATGCAAACGCTAGCTCCTGCTTCTCTTACTGAGATACTTTCATTTCATTCTATTTATAGGTGGTGTTCAGAGGAGGAGAAGGTGCTCTCCAAGTGCTACCTCCTCTGGTTGATGTTATACCTGAAGCAAGACTTAACTTGGTAAATCTTGTAGATTCTTGAGAATACTTCAATATTATAATAAATGAGTTTATAGCCTAATGACAATTTTTGACAATATTATTAGTGACTCTGACCGCCTTTAATTTGCCATGACAACCCCACCAGAGAACAATACACCTTTTCCTTATTCATTGCTTCATTGCCTCTTCCCACACTTTGTTTACTTATACGCGCTTCACACATTTTCATCATCAATCTGATGAAGGCTATCACTAGTCATAGCCGAAACGTCATATTTTTACCAAATCTATGTGCTTTATTCATAATCTTACATTCAGTAATTTCATTTGTATGCATACATACACTTTTGTCATTTAATACATGGTTTAACTGATAATCATACTTTTCTTTTTTTTTTATCACACTCAGGTTATCTATTATTTAAGACAAGGTATGTTTTGTGGCTGTGTATAGTATCTATATTATAACAGGGTTTTGATGGAGGGGGTTAATATTGATGATGGGGGGGAGGGCAGATAAAACTCTGCTATAACATGTCTTTATGCAGCAGTATTGAATGGGATAAACTTCCTGCAACCCTACTATCCACTTTCTCTGACACACAGTCTTACCACTTTTTTCATTGCTATGTACTGATTGCAACAACAGTGTCACGACATGGAAATCAGCCAATACACTGCCGTCAATCAAATAAATTGCTAGGGTACATAAGGTGTACATAAGAAGGTAAATGGAAGACTAATCTAAGGATTCATTTGGTTGATGGTAGTCAATTAATCAATTTCTATTTGGCAACACTGTTGTTTTGATCAGAGTCTAGCAATGAAAACAGTGGTAAATACTTTTACATGTCGTAAGGTGCTAAGGTATATACCTAGTACGGGTGTCTAGGTTCTTTGTATAAAAAGGTGTTAGAGGGGGTGCGATGTCAGAGAAACAGTCATGAATATGGTTTCTTTTTTCTTATTACTTGTGCAGATGATGTTGTAGAAGCTTATAACCTGATCAAAGACTTGGAACCAACCACACCCCAGGTATGAGCATCAATCGGTAAAGAATGAAGTTTGAGCTTCTAATGAAGCCATTTGAAGATTAAAATAATTTATCATAGACCATTTGAATTAAGGGCATAGCTTTAACCCTTTATAATTATACAGCTTCTCATTAATCCCATATAGGGAACTGTCCAATTATTTTCTTAATTGGACAGGTCTTGTTGATATGGGATTAATTAGGCAGCTATATAATTGATAGGTAATGGGATTTCATGCTTCCCAATCAAGAAATAATTAGACTGGAAAAATTCCTCTGACTGCCAAATTGGACACAGCCTATGGCCTCATCCAATTTTGTCAGTCCTCGGAATTTTCCTCGTCCAATGCATGGAGTCCTATTACATATACAAATTTGTCATTTGCCTTAATTTAAGCCCAGAGTGTACACCAAGTTACACTATAAGATAGTAATTAATACATGTGAATGTTTTGTTACCAATACAGGAGTACATCTTGAAAGGAGTTGTGAATGCTTCTCTTGGACAAGAACAAGGATCTGTAAGTCCATTATAAGTTCATTGTATTAGGGTCACTAGTCAAAGCAGATTATTATTCATGTAGCTATGCAATCAGATTTTGTTATTGTTATTCAATTTGTGCATCTGAGCCTATGAAGCAGTTTACAGGCTGTTGTAACAAGATCTAGACAAGCCAGTATTGGCCATTAGCTCACCAAGAGTCTCCTCCTGTAGGTTAGAATTTCTCAAAAAAACAAAAGTAGTTGTCTTGTGGCAAGTCTACCTGCAGCTCAGTGGTAGAGCCTCCAAATAAAATACCGCAGGGCCATGCATATGTGCTCTAGGGACTGCCTTTCCTTACTTTTGCTGAGACATGCTGAATAATTTCATCTCCTATTAATGCCAGCAAAAATTGTTTATTTCTATACTTCACTGACATGTTTTTTTATGTACATGTAATTATTTATTATACAGAGGGAGCATCTAAAGATTGCACAGCAATATTTCCAATTGGTTGGAGGTTCTGCTAGTGAATGTGGTAAGATATTTATTGAAGAAATAAAGATGGGTCAGACTAGATATCAAGATTGAACTGAGGAAAACAGACAACTGAAGTACATTTCCCCCATCAGCCATACTCCTACTGAATATCAGGTGGGGCAGATTTAGGGGATTGGTGCAGGGGGTGTGCACCCCCTTTTTAGATCAGCCTATATGACTACTGCATTATTGAAGCTCAAGTTTGTAAACGTTGTGATCATAAATTGTGCACCCCCTACTAAAAGAACTCTGTATCTGCCCTTGCGTTAAAGGCAGTTCTAGTTCTACAAGTTTTTATTACCGTCATATATGGGTTTAGCAAAGAGACCTTTTTTGCAGACACTATTCCTGGTCGTCAGTGCATGGCAGCATGTTTTTTCCTCCTCAAACAGTTTGAAGATGTCTTGATATACCTGAATTCGATCAAGGTAATTTATAGCTCTTATCAAATAAGATTTGACATAGTATGTCTTGCTTTTTTCATTACTTGTTACAGTACCAACCGCTTACCAACACCTTACCAACACCTTACCATGTTCCTAGTTAGTGTGTCCACACTACTGTAATTCAATTGAAAACTTGCTTATCCTAATCTTGTCTAACAATTTTTCCAGAGTTACTTTTACAATGATGATACATTCAACTTCAACTATGCCCAGGCTAAAGCAGCTGTTGGTAACTACAAGGAAGCAGAGGAGGTAAGCTTGGCTGGCCAGCCATAAGACAGTGCAGTGAGGTCAGGGAGATAGGGATCCTAGTTTTTCAAGACTGAAACTTGACCATCACTGAAAGATGTTGAGGATTTAAGCACATTTTCATGAGTAGTTATAGATAAAAGGATCAATGCTTTAAGTCATTAGCCAGCTGTTACCTTTGGGGAAGTGCTTTTAAGGAGGCTTCATGTATTAACGAAACATTTCTTTGAAACATTTCCACAGATATTTCTGTTGATACAGTCAGAGAAGATCAAGAATGATTACACATACCTCAGCTGGTTGGCCAGATGCTGTAAGTCCCGTTGAACATTATATTATCCATTTTCCCATTACATATTTTTCATTTACTACCAACACAATTATGGTGTTCGATGTCCGAGGATCGGATTGGATTGAGTGTTAGGGTCATAGGCAAAGAAGGGAGGGAAAGATTATATTCTTCTTACTGATAAAAAAATAAGTGTTCTAAATCTTGCGTTCTGATTGGTTGGGAGCGCGTGCATTATGAGAGCACACAGCACGTGCACGCACTTTCTATTTTGTCGTTGGTGTCCAAGATAATGTCTACTCTGATTTGCATCTTATAAAAGAAATAATAAAGCTTGCTTAATCCTGTGCTGTGTGAAGTTATAAATCACTTGATGACTGGCAAAACACTTGAAAAGTGTTTAGAAGCACATGATTACTTGAAAAGGGTTGAGAAGTACAAGATTACTTAAAAGTGAAAACATTCATTTCACTGTGGTAAGTTTTTTTAACCAAAACATTTGCAGCAATCTAACCTAAGCTTCTGTAACTTGTCCATCATTTTTTCCAGACATCATGAACCACAAGGCAAGACTAGCCTGGGAACTCTACCTCAAGATGGAAACATCAGGAGAGTCTTTTAGCTTGTTGCAACTGGTTGCTAATGACTGCTATAAGGTACTGTAATAGTACATACTGAAACAAAGTGGTATCATTTTTCTTTCTTTCTTTCTTTTTTTTTTTTTTTTTTTTTTTTCTTGCTTTTGCGCCCCTTTTTTTTTTTTTTGAAACCAAAAATGGATGAGCAAGTAAATTAGTG